GATTTGGTGTGTGTTGCTTCGGCATCTTTGCCAATTCAGTCGAATTGCGATGATCATTGTAGTGATGGGGCTCATTCAGAGGAACTGTACACAAAGTTGCTGTGTGATTCCAGCATGGCCGTGATGAGCGTGAGATGGAGCAGCGGGCACATGACTACGATAGTTCCCTGGTTGCAGAAATCTCAGAGCTCGGGGCAACATGGGCAGGCAATGTTGATGTTGTGGGGCTCTTGTTGGAATGTGAAACGAAAAGGCTTTGAACAGAAAGTCGCGGACATGTCCATGAGAAGCACTGGTAGTGGTGCAAGTGTCTGGCAGCTTTGCAGTGCCCCTAGAGCACGGGAATATAGCGTGCATTGCGCTGTGCATTCAGCTTTCCTGTGGTGGAATTACTGATGTCCAACTTGCTTCCAATGGCATGCCGTGGATGCACGTGGCGCCACAACAGCGTTTGCGGCCAGTGGAAATCATGGCCCTGGTGCCATCGCGATGGAGCACGGCGGGAAGTGCATCTGTTTCCCACATTTCGCAAATCGCAGCCTCGAAACGCACTGTGATAGCGCTCATCAAAACGGAAGTCCGATGTGGCTCACTGAGCGAAATATGGTCACACCACCAACCGCAATTGGTAAATTCCGATGCCGTGGACAGCCTGCAAGGCCCCGGTAAGAGCAAGAGCAGGGCTGTGCCACGATTCGTGCGCACGACCAAACAGACCTCTCCAAAACATGTCCGAAAACTGCCCCCCTCCTGCAGGTCTGGCGCCTGCATCCCTGGTGTGTACTGGCTTCCCCCCGGATGCAGCATCGCCCTTGGGCCCTGCTGCGAACACCGGCAGACAAACCACGCTTGCATTCATCCCAGGAGACATGCCGCAAGGCGTGAGTCAAGTTAGAACACGCCCTTTCCACCACTGCGATCGACCGGCGATGGCGGCCAAGGCAAAGCCCAGGCGGCAGCAGGAGTTCAGCGGCCTGTTCCGGCTGCAGGCGTCCAAGGACGAGATACGGGTGGGGCCGCACCAGCCCTGGGCCACCTTCCGCGCAGGCTCTGCTCCGTCGCCTCCCGGTCAAAAACCTCCCCGCCAGGGGCCGGATCAGCCATCAGTCCAATCTCCCCGCGTGCTGACACCTCGGCCGCCCCACCACCCGTTCGCAGGACGACATCGTGCGGATTGTGGCGGACCTGCAGACCCTGGTGGAGGGCGTCGCCCTGAAGCCAGGCGGGTACAAGGACGTTGTGAAATACGAGCCCGACCTGGCCCTGGCGGAGGCCATAAGGTAATTCCACCGCCCGGAGGCCTCCCCGTGATCTCCCGAATCCGCCATTCGGGATCGGTCATCCGACGCTTTTGTCCCGACTAGCGCCGCCCGCGGTGCGCGGGGATCGAAGGGAATTGCGCTGTGCCGCCTGCCGCAGGCCCCTGGCAGCGCATTGACATCGCGACGGGCCCTGCTGGTTGTCTCCTCGCGCGCCTGGAGGGGCCGCCACGGCCGCCTGCGCCGCGGCTGGCCGCCCTGAGCCACCCCTACCCTTCCAGTGACTGCTCTGCTTGATTGCCCCCCCCGCCCCCAGGCGGGTGCTGGCTGACGTGGACTGCAGTCAATGCAGTCACGGGCCCAGTGCCGCCTCCGTCCGGTTGAACAGTCCCCGTGCTGGGTGTTTGTGATAGGGCGGAGGTGCAGGGGAAATGCCAGAGGCTGCGCAAGCGGAAGAGGCTGGCCGGCGTGGTGGCCCTCCGGCGGTCCCCACGGCACGAGTCCAGGCGCCCGCCCTCACGCCACGGCAGTGAGTGAGCCAGGCGGCCGGACAGGATGCCGAGCTGGGCATCTGGAGCACAGGAGCAATCTCACCGAGCCATTGCCGTGCCGAAGGGATCAGTCGGCTCGGAGAATGGCGACGAGATCGACAGGACGCTCCAATCAAGCGAGCTGTTACGCCACGAGAAGCTCTGCCCATCGCGTTGGCCAAAGGGTGTAGGGTTCCTTTGCTTGCGTTCAGAGCGGGCTCGCAGCTCGTGCTTCTGGCACACTGGCCGCAATCGGCGCGCAGATCAACGTCCTGTGGACCTTGTGACCGCCCCCACTTATTGCCGGGGCTATCGTACTTGGGGCGATAGCCGTTTCGTGGGCATCCGCCACCTGGATGCCGGCGCTGGGATGACACAGTCGTGGTGGGATGAAGGCTCCTTGGCTTCGTGCTTCGGCAGATGTAACGCGCACAGAGGTGGGCGGGCCATACAAGGTCAGGACGGGGCTGTGGGGTGGCAGCCCGGCGAGTAGGAGGGACTGCGGTACCACACGGCCGGCGGGCTGGCACTGCTCGGAGCAACGTGAATTGTAAATTGGCAGGAGTGGCGTGGCGGTGTTAGTCGAGGAGTGTCACAGGTTTTGTGCGCACCGTGGAGTTCGTCGTTGCATCGTTGGACGGTTGTTGTCGCATCGCGGCGTCGGATTGATGTTCCGGGTGAGGGCCGATCGCTTGATCGAATTGCTGCAACGGATTGCTTGTAATTGTGCAGCCCTGTGAGATGAATTGCGGCGGAGGTTTTCGCTCACGGCTCCTATCCTTGCTTGGAACTTGCCTGCACTGCTGTCGTTGCCGATTGCTTCCGCTGGTTGCTTTCAGTGGAATGACGTCGGCGCACCTGGAGCACTCACCCACCCCCCAAAAGCGAAGGGACATTTGCATGTGGGCATGGCCGAGAATTCGAGGGAGGGCGCCTTTGGCCGGGCCAGCGGCCGTTTAGCGCAACGAATGCGGAGCGACGATGCGGGGGCAGCTGCACAGCCTGGAGCCTGGATCCGAATGGGCTGTACAGAAAAAAGATCGAGCCAATCTGGGCACAATTGGGGCCACGGCGCGTGCCAGGCAGGGCGGAGCACGCCAGGCAGCGGTCCGGCCGCCCCTGCTTACAAAACGCGCAGGCGGCCAGCGAAACCAGCTAGTCGAAAGAGGTTAAAAACCAAGGGGCCGGAGTTGTCGACGGGCTCCGAGCCAACCCACAACGCGTGAAGCCACAGCACCGCCCAGCGACTGCGATCCAGCGCCCACAAGCCCGGTTCGGACCCCCGCGAACGCGGAGGCAAAAGATCGTCACGATCCCTGTTCAAAAAACCCGCCCAACCTCGTCGCCCGTCCCCCCGACACCCAACGCCCTCATACGGCGAAAAGCCCACCCGGCTTTGTCACGCCCGGATGCGGCCCCTGCAGACCCCGCGAACACCAGAATGGCACCGAGGTGGGTCACAGGCTCGACCCCGGTCCATGGCGATGCAATCTGGCAGTCCCGATCGCCGGCGGCGGCCTCGCCCCGCCGCTGCTCCGACGCGCACCCGACCCGTAGCCACGAATGCAACCGGCGCCCCTCCGCGGCGGGGCACCCAACGGGGGGATCCGCAGCGCGACATCCCCCGCCCCCGGCAAAGATGCCCTGCCGGAGAGGCCGCCGCCGCCCACCGAGCATTGCTGCACCCTCCAGCCGATCGCGCCTCGTGTCTTCGCCCCACGTCAACCGCTCAGCATCGTGCACGCCAACCCCAACAACATCAGATGCGCCACGCTGCCGCCCGCAGAGCGGCGTCGGCACGGTGACCCATCGGCCGGTCGCACGCTCGCCACAGCGCTCGGGCACGAGTTTTCTTTCCCCGACCACGACCACGCATCTCGAGCCCACCCCGGCGAACCCCGATGTCTACCCCAGGCCCACGCCCTCCGCCCTCGCCTTCCCTCCCCACCCCGCGCTCTCGCCAGCTGCGTCGCCGCCACGTCGCGGGCGATCGCCCCCGCACTCAGCCCTTCTTGGCAGCCTTGGCCTTGGCCTTCGACTTGGCGGGCTTGGCCCGGCCGCCGGCCTTGCCCGCCTTCTTGGGCGCCGCCCTCTTCGACGGCTTGACGGCCGCCTTCTTCGGCCCCTTCGGCTTCGGGGCCGCCTTCTTGCTCGCGGATTTCGCCTTCGCCTTCACGCCCGCGGGCTTGGCCTTGGGCTTGGTTGGCCTGGGCGCCGCCGCCTTGCTGGGCTTCGATGCCTTGGCCTTGGCGGGCGTGGGCGCCTTGGGCTTGGAAGCGGCGCGCTTGCCGGGCTTAGCGCGCTTGGCGGCACTGGCGGGCTTGTCCTTCAGTGCATTGCCCAGCTTCCACGACCCCCGCACCTTGGTGAGCTTCCCGTCCGCCGTGAACTTCTTCAGGTAGTGCGACAGCTTCTTCTCCCAGCCGTCCGGCAGGCCGTACTTGGAGCCCATGTATTTCCTGATAGCGACCACCGAGCTGCCGCCCCGCTCGTTCAGGCTGCCGATGGCGTCGGCGATCATGTCCGAATAGGGCGGGTGGGAGGCGGGGGCCTTCGTCATGGCGTCGGAGCGGGACGCGCCCGTGGCGACTGCTGCGCGAAGGCGGCCGAGCGTGGCTCACGCTGTGGCGGCAACTGACGCCTGCTGCTGGCGGAAGCGCGGCACGTGGGCCCATTTAAAATTCGCCGTGCCGGGCAACGCAACGGTGCGTAACGCTGCGGGGGTGAGGAAAAGATTATTGGCAGGGGCGAATTTTCGTGCCTGGGGGGGGGGATCCGTTGGATGGTGGGATGGATGAGGCTGGAGAGGCCCGCAACGAATGCCGCGCACCCGGCGACGGGGGAACCTTGTGAAGAGCGGCGCGACGGAACTGCGTGGTGCCATTGGAGCAGCTCAGTGATTGAAGCCGTGCCACTGCAGGTCACCGCGGACCGCGACCGCGTTCCGACAAGGACTGCCCGCGACCTTCTGGGCTTTGTCGGCCGGGCGTCTCTGTTAATTGATATGGTCAGGGTAGTACCCCAACAGGCAATCCAAATTGACAGAATTGCAAACTTTATCGGTGGAGTCAGGGCTCCCGGTGTATGAATGGGAACGATTCATGCTTGAAGGTCGGAATATTCTGCAAGAACGGTCGCCATGTCAGGAAAACGCACTAAGATGCTTTGCCTGAATAAGGCAGCAGTTGGCAGGAGTGCACAAAAATCCACCACAATAACATCATGACGCCGCAGCTGAGTGCGATGGACCAACCACAATCCTAAGATGCGCGCGGCCAGTGTTGGGCTGAAATCAAATTGGGAAATAGACATTTTATCAGATTTGCATGGCAAATATTCATATGTAGCTGCCTTGAAATTGCACAGTTCAGCACAGAAAGAGGGTGAAAAAGACCTTCACTGTGGGGACAATTGCTGCATCACACAGGCAGCAATTATCTGCTGTTCAGTGTGGTGTGGTGCGCTAGTTGATCAGAGGTGGCCAGCAAATAACAAAGCGGAAGCAGCCCAACATGGTGAGTTGGAGAATAATTTATAGTCATCAAGTTGGCAGTTTTTGCGGATCTCCAGGAATTCATGTCTTCGAAATGTTTGAAGGGATGCATGTGCACACAGGTGCTGTGGACGCTTGGTCCTTCTTGTTGTATAAACTCCAGGCACAGCATGATGACTCAAAAAGATCAGCACACTAGCCTGTCACAGATAGCGGCTGCAGATTTTCAGAATTGGAACCGCTCAACCTCACCCTTGACATGCCTCGTCAGGATTCCATCGACAACTGAACGAATCAGCAGGGCATACTCTACCACTCACATTTAATCTTTTCATTTACAAAGTCAAAAATACAACCCTGCCTTCCTAAATGGCGCGACAGCCAGAATGCATGTCGACTCAAGCAAAGTGGTGGCCACTCGCGCCGTGCTCCGGACTCCACACTGCCAAGCCAAACAAGGCGATGGGATAGGCGCTTTGTCCCATGCGGGTACCCAGCATGCCGAAAATTCCAGGTCCCCCGACCCAGCCATGTCAGTCAAGAAGGGACCTGGGTGCCCAAGGTCATAACAGCCACCTTTCCATCCCTTGCGTCTTGATAGTACCCCTTCCGCTGGGGATCCACATCCATCAGCTTCCCATATATCTCCCGCACCTCGTCCCCCAAGCCGTCCCCCTCACCCAGAAGCCGCATCTTCGTCTCCTTCAGTCTCGCGAGGGCCAGCAGCGGCCATTTCGACTCCCCACCCCCCACCAAATGATCCTCCTCCATTCTGTCAATCTCCCTTTCAATCACTTGCCTCAGCCCCGCCACCGCCACCGCCTCCCGGTCGGTCCCTCGAGCCTCTTCCACGGCGGCGATGGAATTTCCTAGCAGCCATCTGTAGTAAAACCACGCGCTGGAATCCTCAGCGTCCGTGGAAAACGCTGAGTGGCACACGTCGTACTCCTCGTCCAGCGCACGCGCGGGCACGGCACCAGGCCGGCGGGGCGGCCCCTCGTGCTTCTCCTTGAGTAGATCCTCCAGCCCGATTGTGCGCACCTCCCCGTGAACCCGTGGCAGCACCTTGGTCCTGTGGTGCCAGGCGGAGAAGTTGCTGAAGTTCTGCTCGATCTTGGCCTGGCTGTAGTCGAGCTCGGCCGATGCCGGTGGGCTGCCCGGCAGGGTCGCCAAAAACCGGCGGTAGTTCCAGGCGTGGAAGTTGCGCGCGTCCTCGTCTAGGCGCGCCTCCACGAACCGGAACTCCTCCGCCAGGTCGCAGGGCCATCCGGACACGATCCATTGGCGGTGGTGCCACGCGGCGTAGGATTTGGGATTCCGTTTCAGCGCCTGGCCGATCAACTTGAGCTCGCCCAGTAGGATCTCCTCCCGGCACCCATCTCCCGCCTCCAGGGCCGGGAGGATCGCCTCCCGCCTGTAGTTCCAGACGGTGTAGACCTCCGGGTTGAGGGACAGGAAGTTCGCGGCCAGCGCTAGGGACTCGGCGTCGTACAGCTTCTCCCGCCGCCGCCTCAGCACCTCGTCGGCGGCGCTCTTCAGGAGGGCTGCCTTGCGGTCCCGGGCGGCGAGCGCCTCCGGGTTGAGCTCCGCGGCCTTGGGTATTCGCGGACGGCCGTGCATGTTCTGCAGCGCGGAACGCTCCCCGCGATGCACGCGCCGTGCTGCTGACGCTGGGTAAGTGCGTGCTGGGTGTGTGCCAAGTCGGACATCCACACCGTCATTTGTTACAAGCGACTCCCAGAAACGGGCTCAAAACGGGTTGAAGATAGTTTTTGCGGAATTGACGGAATGAAATGGAGTGAATGTGTTTAAATCGGGATTAGGGATGTTGGGAGGGAACTTTGGACGGCCAACGGGAGTGTCCGTTGTGGGCACGCTTGGATTCGGTGTGATTGGCGCTGCCTCTACGCAAACTGGGTATGACTGGCTCAGTGAGAAAGTGTTTGGCACAACTCTTAAAGTTGTGGCTAGCTTATGGGCAGCGACCCTTGTTTCAGGGCGCGGTTGGCGATAAAGTCCAGGAAACCGAACTGAGCACAGTTTGCACGGCTGGGAACGCTGTTTCAAGACGATCCGTGCAAACGGGGAACTTGGGACTAAAGGTTGGCGAAACGAGTGTGTGGCTATCTCGTTTTTCGCTCCCGCCCACCTCAATCCCAGGTTATTGGCTTGAATTTTAATGTAAGGAGAGACAATTGGCAAACTGGTGTGACGGCACTCGAAGGCATCAGAAGTGCAGAGTACTCTGCGTATGTTTTCTTCAGTTTTAGAGTAGATGGTCAGGCGCCCGAGTATGCCCTCCTGACCCGAGTTAACACAAAGAAGCACGTCTATAAACGGGTGGGCAAGGCCCCCCGAGATTTAATCTTCGTTTTGCATCGCGGTGGGTCCGTGTTGGTTTGTGGCGGCCGGGTGGAGCGGATCGAGCGCTTAGCGCCGGAAGCGGCTGGAGAGACAGCCCTTCTTGCAGCCGGTGTGCTCGGGGCGTTTCGGTAACACTCCCTTGCGGGCGTTGCGCGAGATGCACGGAAAATGGATGTCCGCGGCGTGGGATGCGGGACCCGGGCTTGCGATTCCGGTCGTTTGAGTCGCTCTTGAGAACAGGCTCTCTCCAGAATGGCGCGTTTGGGGTTGGCGAAGCCCTTGGAGCGCTCACGAATGCCGATGCGTCTGAACCAAAGGCCGTCCTCCCAAGAGCGGCACCGTCGTTCATCCTGACGAATCCCCAGAGGAGCTGCCAATACGGTCCAGACAGTTAAGGCGAGCACTCCGGGTTTCCAACAACATTATTACAAGAGGAATGAAACGCTTGGCTTTGTTTACTTTGTCGCCACCTCAAAAGCCCCGGCGTGCCTTGGTCCATGCGCGGTTCTGGGACGTGCGCCCCTGCACATGGCCACACAGCGACTCCCTGGTCCCTACACGGCCCGTCACTGGCCCGTCACTGGCCAGCCTACGCAAGGGTTGAACCTGGAGCGAAGCACACAGAGAGGGCCCAGAGCCTGGGGAAGCCTGTTCAAAGACAAACTGAATCAACAAGCTTTGGCAGTGTTTCCACCTTCTCTTGGCAGTTGAAAATGTGCTTGCTTGACCCTGCACTGCGCACTTCGAAAAGTGGACTCCACATGCCACTGGTTCCTTCCTCGGCAATGTCCTGAAATGGCATGCTATGGGTTAGTTGGAATATGCACAACTGTGTTTATGTTGACTGTCTCTCTTGGTTCTGTTCCCGGAGCTGTTCTGTGTGTGCAATGACAAACAGAATGGGCCCTACAGGTGCCAATAAACAGGTCAAATACAAGACTGACTTTCGACATCGGGCACCGCTTGGTCATTGAACCGTCGATGTATGGATAATATCCGGTGAAAGAGGTTTTCCACAAAATCTTGTGGTTGATCGATTGCAGCGTGGACACTCATGTCATGTGTTTGAAGCCAGTGCAAGTTACTATAAAACAAGCGCAAATGGGCAGGCAACTATGACAGACCAGCGCCCTTCTGTCCGTCCTCACCAGTGTACAGCAAATGGATAAAGAAATGGGCTGAATTCGCAGCTTGAGCTGCTGCATGCCACAAATTGCACTAGACGCAGCCTTTGACTAGCACCACTCAGTTTCAGGGACATTCGCCAGCCCTGTAAGCCACACAGCGTGCCTGAGGAAGTCGGCCTTGTATCTGGTGTCGTATCATGCAGTGCCCTTCCAGATGTAAGATCAAGCGGGGTGCTCTTCCCAATCAACTGTTTGTCCCTGCACTGTTTACCAGTTCTCTGTCCACCATGCACCTTTAGGAACTGACAGTTGGCCACGTTCAGCAAGAGAGATCGTTGAAATCGCGTGATGGACAGAAATCAGTTTGTGCATCATTCTCAAGTGTAGAGCCCAATCAGATGTTCCACTTCCCACAGAGGAAAACTGGTTTCTGAAGATTGGAACATGTGTGGAATGGTACTCCAAAGGCAGTGTCAATAAAAAGCCGTTCTCCCAACTTCCTGCCACGGTCGTTCCAGTGCATGGGTGCCGCTTTATTCAATGATCAGTGTTCCCATCCAGGATTGACAGGCGATTCTGACAACACAGCATTTCTGTTTGTCAGCCACACCAATTTGGGGCTGAACTGGCCGGGCTCGTGCAGTACTTTGCCTGGATGTGGTGGCAGTAGCAGGAGCGAAGGACTCCACTTTGGGCACAGCCTGAATCAGCTCTTACCAGAGGCGGCCACTGATCGTCGTCCTAAATTTGGGTATTCCCCACTTTCTCTGTGTGCATTGTGGTTTTGAAGCTGCATTCCCTGGCCTCTTGCACTCAATGGCCTCATATCCTGTTTTGGACAGTGCCAGATCCCTAAACGACTTGTTGGTAGCAGGGGGGGATACTTCCATGGGTACAAGGCACAGGTGGTTGTGAGATTGTTTATCGCTGGCCAGAGTCACAGCAGCATGCCTGCACCAAGCGTGCAGAATTCGTTATTGCAAGCAAACAAGTACAACAATGATGGCACTTTCCCTGGCCCAACTCGCATAATCCACATGTGCCACAAGCAGCCCTTTAAGCAGCCCATTCGTCTCAAGATTAGGCAACAAAATTGCCACCATCAACACGCTCACACAACGGCTTCCTCGACCGCCGCCTGCCTTGGCTTGTCAATGCTCAGTTTCCCGACAAATTGCAAAATCTCGTCATTGACCTCGTCCGGCACCTCGTCATGCGGGCAGTGCCCAGCCTGCAGCAGTTTTACCTCGACGTTGGGACAGGACGAATCCAGCTTTGCAGCCCGGTCACCTGCGTCGTTCAGGGGGTCCAGCACGCCCTGCAGGACCAGCACAGGCCCTCCGTACAGGTCCCGGACAACGTAATTCAGCGGTGGCGGGGGCTTCAAGAAAAAGACGCTCTTCAAGACGGACAGGGCGTTCGGCGCGGTGCCGGCCCTCATGATGTCGTACTCCAGCGCCGCATCCACGTTTTGTGGATTTGTGGGATACAGGCTCTTCAGGGTGCGCCCTGCAGTTGTTTGAAGGTACCAAAGCAGACCGTTGGCAACTGCATCGACCACAATCTTTGGAGGGGGGTTCCTGGGCGGCGCGCTGCCGCCCTTTTCGGGGCTGTATGTGGGATCAACAGGCCCTGCTGAGTTGAACAGTATGAGCCCGTGCACGAGTGAGGGGTTCTGGCCTGCAACACTGGCAGACATGTAGCCCCCAATGGAGTTCCCCCCGAGCACCACCGGCTGGCCCACCACCTCCACGATGAAATCCTTCACGTACTCGCTCCACACTTCCTGGGAATACCTCATGGACGGCTTTTCGCTGCGGCCGTATCCAGGCAGAGTTGGACAGAACACACGGTATCCAGCGTCCCGAAGAGGCCCAATGTTACGGCGCCAGTGGAATGATGACGCCCCGAAGCCGTGGACCAGGAGGATGGCAGGAGTGTCGTCGGTGGCGTCATCTGGCTCTGCGACGACATATTCCATCAAATGACCGCTCTTCCACCGCCAGTAGCGCACGCCCAATCCCAGCGAGTATCCGTTGCTGAAACTGGAGTACGACATCCTCGCAGCCTGTGCATGGAAGTCGGTCATCTCCACCTCGCGAAGCACGTTCAGGCTGGTCTCATTTGCGCCGAACAGTCCCATGGGCAGATAGGACGTGCCCGCAACATCGCAGGCCTCCTTGTGGACTAAGCGTGGGGACACCAACCCCAGCAACATTGTCGAGGAGAATATTGCCGAGAAGCAGACGCCTCCCAACCTTGGCTCCCGCACGTATGCAATCAACTCTTGCAGCGTGGATTTGCCGTTGGTGGGGCCGCCACGCTGCTGGCCGACCAAATACTCTCGTATTGCTTGCAGCGCCGAATCTGGACTGCTGGTGAGTTCAGCAGCGAATTGCAACCACAGAGGGGAGCAATCACGTGCCAATGGATCGAAGCCTTTATTAACCGCCTGTTGCACGACACTCGAAGTGGGGGCATCCAGCAATCGCCTCAATTCGGTCACATCAGGCAGGTCCCCGCTCTCAATGGCGGGAGACACCTCTGGAAGGGCGCTTGGTCGAGGCAGAGGCTCCAAGGCCATGCCCCGTCCTTTCTGAAATTCAGCAAAATCATCCACGTATGACTCATCTTCCCATATTGGAGCCTTCCACAGCTGCAGGCGCACGCCTTCATCCTGCAGACCATCTCCCACGTACCCAATCAGTGAGGCGAGGCTCTCCTCTACATCGTCATGAGCTGCCACCACAGTGGCCCCGCATTCAACAGCCAAGGCCCTCACTGCTCCCTGTGCGTCCCCTACCCTGATAACCAAATCGCTGCCCAGCTCCCGCAACCCTCTTCTCAGACAGTCCAGGGCGCCCCACAGGAGCTCTACCCCGCCTGGTATGCGCCTCAGCTGACCAGCCACCTTGGGGTCCACACAGTAGAAAGGGACCACGGCAGCGCCGGCTGACGCAGCTTCAAAAAGACCAGGATGGTCGTCCAGGCGAAGGTCATTTTTGAACCAGACCAGCACGCACCCAGAGCTGCCGTTTGCAGGCTGGACAGCCTCCATGGTGGGGGGCATCGCTGACAAGGCGCTGCCTCTCCCACGATGGGCCAGGCTCTCTTCTTTAAGGGCACCAAGAGGTGGGCAGCGCTGTGGGGCTGAACATGGGGCACGGGTCGTCGGACTGCCCGCCTTCACGAGCATGGTTGGCTGCTGCAATTTTGTGTTGCTGCATCCGACCGGCGGTCTCCCAAAAGCACTCATCGTGCCCAGGACTGAAGATAAATGGAAAGACACCTGTGAGGCCTGTGGGCAAGTGCATGGGGTGAGGCGTTATTCTAGCAGCTTTCGCCTGCAATCGCACGTGCGCTCTCAAGCACACGTGAGTGAAGTAAGATTCTGCATGCTTCGTTCTGAAACGATCATCCACTTGACACATTGAAACGACGGAACCAAACCCATTCTCAGACACGAAACATGCCTACTGTGGTGGCCCTCGATGGGAGAGCTCAGTCAGCACAAACTCAGATTGCACGGCATCTCTGCAGAATTTTGACTTCTTATATTACAGTCAAGGCCGTCAACATACGTCAATAAACAGCAGGCAGTCCTCAGAGGGCTCAGTCCACAAATTCAATTCCCTTCCTGGTACTAAACATTTCCACAGGAAATGAGCAGAAACAACAGCGCTGCTAACAGCCAAAGAACAAAAAGTACAGGCCTCATGAGACCAATTCTTTGGCTCGGCTCGCTCCAACACTCTAGCGTGCAGGCTGCAGGGAAAACGAGACAGCCTGATCCACATATTGCATCGTATGTTACAATCTCTTGCAGCTTGATGCCTCTCAAGTGCTTGAGAACGTACCATGTCAAAAGTCCCTCAGTTTGGCAGAATGCAATACCAACATATGTCCAGCGCCCGTCCACTCTTGAAACAAGTCAATCGTTGAAGATTATATGGCAGTTATAGGCCATTTGTGAAATTCGTGGATAGCCGGGCACCGTACTTCCAGAAACGTTTCTTGTAAGTTGGAGACTGCCATACTCCATTTCTTATTGACGCTGGATATCAAGCCATGCCACTTTTGCATCTTTAGCAATATGTTAAAGTATTGGGAAGCGGGATAGCAATGTTTCTTTTATTATTCTTATCTGGTCAGCTGCTGTCACATCAGATAGCGGTTTATGCGACAGGGAGGACTGGCGGCCGGACTTGTAACGTTAGCGCACCCCTTTTGATGTCGCAATTGCAGAGTCAGCTATCCAAGGTAGAGATATCTCCGGATATTTCAAAGTGTTACAGCTATCAAAGGTTGTGATGGCTTGTGATGGAGGTCACCTCTACTGCATTGTGTCGCTGTCCCAGATTGCAATGCCACCATTGTATTGTGCATAATGCTGCGGTATTATTCTTAGTAGTTTTGCCACCCCAGAATATTCCACGCGATAGAAACTATGCCCAAGTTGTACTGGCACCTGCAACTCCTCAAAACAGACTACTTCCAGCAACGAACGCGTCAATGCACCGACGATTGTCGTGTCCGTCGGACTCTTGACACCAAATGCGGGGCGAAGCAACAATGGCTGTCACGTACGCGGCCGTGCTGAAGGACGATTATGTCGTCCTAAGGAGAATCCAGAGCGTCTAGTTCGTCGCCCGCAGACTGTGGGACCGCAGACGGGCGTCGCCAACCGTGGGACAATTTTAGCGGCGCATGTGGTGGTCCAGGGAGGCTGGGTGGCTGTGGTGGACCCGCGCCTTTTCCCTCGGTTGCTGACACAAGGGCATGCCTCCGGAAAATTCTGGGCCCCGTAGGGCTCCAGCGTCCTGTTCGGTCTCAAACTCGCGAGTGCTCGACCCCTCGCACACCACGCCAACGCGCGCATGCCTGCGCAGCTGAGCCCAGAAAGAGCGCGACTTTGGCCAGGAACGCGCCGTCCACCGCGATAACGATTCGCCGTGGTTCCTGTTGTGACCTCGTGACGATGCCCTACTGCACAAGCGACGATGCAGTTTGCAGTCACTGCGACTGGTTGAAAGCCTCCCTTGCCGGCGGCACAGCCACCACAAGCCTGGAACCGGCGCCCGTTTGTCTCAACGGCGGTTCGCTGGACAGCCATCTGCCCGAACGCCTGAACGCCCTGAACCATGGGCCGCGTCAAATGTCCATATCGCTCCGGCTGGCACAAGTCACGCACACATCTTTTGTTCACGCTCATCAGCGCAGCAGACTGCGGGAGTGCTTGCTTCCCGGGCACACAAACACCCGGCGATACGACTGGAGCGAGTACAGCTGAGTCGCGGATGCGAGTGCAATTCGATCCCAGGGCAACTCACCGACACGCAGCGGACGCTCAGCCGACGTTGACGCTGCTCCACCCGTCGAACGGCGACCAGGGTTGGACGCTATCCTGCTCTTCAGCGCCGCTCCCTGAAGCGACGCTCGCCAGCAATGGCAAACCACGGCGCTGCCCGCAACTGGTGGTGCCCGCGCGGTATTCTGTCATGCGCCCTGCGCTCCCACCCGTCGGTTATTTGATGAGCTTGTGCTTGGCAATTATCCGTCGATTGAGGGCGACGGGCTACATAGCAGTGAATGCAGTTCGGTACGATGTGCGGCCAGGTCATATGTCGCGTTTGCACGCCGGCTGCGAAGTCGACACCACCAAATGCATTTGGTGATGACCGCCGAGTTGACGCGAGAGTGCCGTCCCGTGTGTTAGGAAGCAGCCCGGTCCGGTGAATGCAGACCTCGACTGCAACTACGGCCGCAACATGCACCAGGGAAAATCTTGGGAATGGGCCCTTTGCAACGTTCGTTTGGTGAAAACAACCGCCACCTCATCGCCTGTCGCGACCCAAACAGCCAAACGGCTGCCTCCGTTGAAGTGGCTTCGGAAGCGAAATTTACGAAATGTAATGCAGTGAATAGGTTTAAATCGGGAACAGGGCCGTTGGGCGGGAACCTTTGAACGACCAGCAAAGGTTTTAGTACTGGGCGCACTTGGATTTAGAATGGATGGCGCTGCCGTTTCTCAAGCTTGGAAAGCAGTGGCTCAGTGAGCAAGAGTTTGGCGCAACTCTTAAAGTTGTGGTCAAGTTATGGGCAGCGCCTGGGCGAACCGGTCGCGGTTGGTTATAAAGCCCAGGAACCGAACTGAGCTGCAGTTTGCACCAGTGGAAAAACTGGTTCACAGTGATCTGGGCAAACGGGGAACTTGGGACTTAAGGTTGGCGAAACGAGTTTGTGGCTATCTCGTTTTTCGCTCCCGCCCACCTCTACCCAAGATATTTGGCTTGATTTTAATGTAAGGAGAGACATTTGGCAAACCGGTGTGAAGGCTTTCAAGAGTGCCTGGAAAAAGAGTGTCTGAACGTTTTAGTTGCTGAGACTGGGTCCAGCGCCCTGAGTGCGCCATCCCGTCCCGATTGATAAACTGGAATAGGTAAAGTATCGTTAAAAACGGGTGGGCAAGGCCCCCCGAGATTTAAACTATGGACCAGCGGCGGGGGCCACATTCCGGAGGAATTCGCCAAGCCCGTCAAGTTTGCCGTACTAGCGCCTAATATAGCTGATCCTTTTCCAATACCGGGCCGGTACCGCCAGCCACACCTGGCTACAAACAGGCCTGCGCAGCGGCTGTGCAGAGTTGCATTCCTGGCCAGCATGGCGCTGTCTCCGGCCACCGCGCCCTCCTGCTCCCGGGTCTTCGCGCCTCCCTCCGCCTCCCACGCCTCGCCGCCGCCCTTCCCCTGCCTCCACGGCTTCCCGCGCAGCCCCGCGCCGAAACGGAATCGGCCCTGCGGCCGCGTGGGCTGCGGGGCGGACCCGGAGGACCAGGCGTCGGCGTCGATCCCCGACAGCCTGCCCCTGGCTGGCGTGGACACCGACTGGCGGGACTTTAGGGCCCGCCTGGTGGCCACGTCCAGGTCTGGGAGTGCCGCATCGGGGGTGGAGGACGGGAGGTGGGCGCACGCCGTGCACGCCCCCGAGACTGGATGCCTGCTGGTGGCCCATCGTGAGTGTTGCGAGGGGTGCGGCCTCTTTTCCTGCGTGATTTGCAGTCCGGCAGTCAGTGCGATTGGAATGGAATGAGCTGGGCTGTGGGCGCCCACTGGAAGGGGGCAGTTGTGCGGCTGCTCGCTGAGCGGGTGGGGAGCGACATTCAGCGCTCTGGGATGTGGCTTTGGATGAAGTGATCGCTCATGGCCAACTGTGCCGTGTGCTTCGCAGCCTTGATGTTCAGCCAGAGCCAGACCTACTTCTCGCAGGCCGTTATATTCATCTTCACACATTCGGAGTCGGGCAGCGCGGGCCTCATTCTGAACCGCCCCACTGAGTTCACACTGGGCAAGGTGGCGGGCGCGGAGGAGATGTGCCCCGAGTTTGCAGAGTCGCAGTTAAGGCTGGGTGGGGACGTGGGCAAGAGCACGCTGAACATCCTGCACTCGTATGGGGAGCTGGAGGGGGCTATTGAGATTGTGAACGGGATTTATCTGGGCGGCTTCGAGGCTGCCAGGCGGGCTGTGAGGGAGGGAAACGCCCAGGGAAAGGATTTCACTTGGTTCATGCACCACGCAGGTTGGGGGCCAGGGCAGGTGAGCAGTACTTAGTAGTGCAACATGCCCAAATCAAATCCCCTTCATCAGTCGATGGTCACAGAAGGCCTGTCTTCCACACACCCCCGATGGGAGTACGTAACTCACTGTGTCGATGCCCAGGACCCCAGCCGCTGTGTCGTTTTCTTGCCTGAAGTGGAACCCCTGCCATGCGTCCAGTGCCCCTGCCGAAACTCTGGACACTTGCAGAGTTGCGAGTCCATTGATTGTTGTACAGAGATGTTTTTGCAACTGTAAGCAGGTGCGAGAGCCACATGAAACAGTCAGCCTAGGAACAACAATAAACTACTACTGCGTAGTATGCAACGTGCTCAGCTGCATTGTCCCTGTGTGCCTGAGGATAATGCATGTTTCAAGGGGAGAATACCAGATCTGATGGGGTCCAGTGTCCGCTGTCTCCTGTATGTTTTGCCAATGGCGACCTGGGTGCTGTCACTGCAGAATAACAGCAGAAAGAGCATCCATAACAGTGATCAGATTTCTGTGTGTGCCGCAAACCGAACCAGATGGCAGTTCCTCTTGCCTTGATGTGTGTTGGCCAGCACATCCATATTCTCACCATTGATGTTGCGACAATTGCGCTGCCCTGTGATGTTGGTGTTCCATTTACTCTACAGCTTGAAAACGAGTGTTCTTCCGGCGTCTGGTTCACGGCCGCTGCTGGTCGCGATTTGATCCTCCAGCCCCGTGATGGTAATGATGCCCCAGCGGACATGTGGCACGAGGTTCTGCAACTCATGGGTGGGGAGTACAGCGAGCTCTCCAAAGTCGTGCAGCAACCCTACAGGGCTGACATAATGGGCAACGAAGGCAGAGAAGGGGAAGATGTTTAGTGACTTGTATTCTCTTATTCAAATGCCCCACAAGTGTTGGTGGGTTCACTGGTCCGAATAGGAGAGCTGCCCCACGACTGCCAGCAAAGCATGGCCCCATGTCGCCAAGCATGATGGACCATCCAAGACACCACGATTGACACGATTAGACTTCCGTTTGCACAGTGATTGAGCAGGTGGTCATTCGTTGAAGCTGTAGGGGAATGTTAGAATTTCGACAGCACTGAAGGTACAACACTTTCTGATCTGTTCTTTTCACCATCAAGAGCTTCTGTAGATAGTGTTGTGCAGCTCCATGCTAACACAACAGGATAAACAAGCTGACACAGGGAACTACAGCGTTGTGGCAACTTCTGTTACAATGCTAAACTCCCCTAGTGTTTCCACTACACAATTGCTGCAGGGCATTCTCCAGTGCTATGCTGCCATTCAGTCACATTATTCAGGTTATGAGTGTGAGTTACAAATTTATGATACTGTATTGATTGTCCGTGCCTCGACACACCACTGTTCAAACTTTTCAAACCGCTATTTGCAGCCCTAATGCAGAGGACGTTGCACCAATGACCCTGCCGCAGCCGATCAAGTCCATCGTTGACGACAGTGCTAAACACTCAAGACTTGCACCCATACCAATCCAGAAGTCAACGTCAACACAGTGTCTTAACTGCAGCTGCCTCAGTGGCGTCAAGGCTACCAGGAAGCCCCCACCCCGCTGCTTATACACCCACAGAAGTTTGTGGCTACATCTTTGTTAAACACCCCAAACCCAATCTAGCCAAACAAGGATGTGATTCAAGACCATAGTTAGTCACCTTGCAGCAGCCACTCAGGGCCACATACGTTAGGCTGGTGGAGCCACTCAGTGCATGCAAACCAGTGTCAGTGATCCTGTCGCAGTCCTCAACCTCCAGGCTCGTCAGCGTGGGGAGGTGGGTCAGGCATGCCAGGCTGCCATCGCCAATACAGATGCAGCCATTCATCGCCAGGGTGCAAAGGGAAGTCAAGCACGTTAGTACCCCCACGCCTTCGTCTGAAATCGACGTGCAGCCACTGAGATTGAGGGTTGTCAGGGACACTAGTGCTGTGATGCAAGACAAGCTGTCGTCCGTCAATCCCCAGCACTCCCCAAGGTTGAGCTCCTGGAGGGATGTAACACCTGACAACGATGCGATGCATCTGTCTGCGAGGTTGAAGCACCCCACCAGCCGTAGGCAACTCAGCGCCGGCAGCAGTGTCATGTGCTTCAGGCCATCATCTGTCACTAAGTGGCACCCGTCTAGGGTCAGCTCCTCCAGCCCTGTAAAGGTGACGATGGCTGCCAGGGCATTGTCATCCACACCCTGGCAGTCGGTGAGATCGAGGATGGACAACTTGGGCAGCCAAGGCAAGGCATGCGGTCTGCTGGCTGGCCAGAAGTCGCAATTGGACACGTTGAGTTGCAACAAGTTCGTCAACTGGCCCAGCTGTGCCAGGCCATCGTGGGACACCTTCCAACAGGAAGAAAGATCCAATCCTTCCAACTGGGTGAGGTGGGATATGAAGCTCAGGCCCTTATTCGATACCAGGTCACAAGAACTTAGTGACAGGTCTTTTAGGCCTGTCAGTGAGATCAGGTGCCTGAGGGCATAGTCGTCTACCATTTCACATTTGCTCAAATCCAGGAACTTCAGATGCCGGAACGACCTGTGCACAGAGTCGCAAATGTCCAGCAGCGAAGCAGCGCTGGGTTTTGGGCAGAGCCTGGTCACTCCACCGTCCACACTAGACTTCCAGTGCTTGTTCAATAGCCGCATGCAGCCAATCAGGCCACCCTCCAGCCCAATCGCCGCTCTTTCCACGGTTCTTGTCAGTGCCAGCACAACATGTTCATGTGGATCGGTCCACAGCGAATCTTCAGCATCCTGAAGTAGCAGCGGTGCACAATTGTCGCAGAACTGAATGCAGTGGTGTTTGCAGCCTCCCACATCAACCCAAATCATTCAGCATGTACACAAAGACAGGACAGTGCGTCCATCCATAAACACTCCCAGCAAACTGTGTAGACGGCTGAAAATGCCAGGTTGAATGCGTGGTCGACACTGTGCGATGGACGAAAGGGTACAGGGAGAATGTTGCAGGCACATAAGGCACACAGTGACAACAGTGACAACAGTGACAACAGTGTGGCATTCAAATGACGCCTGTGGCACCACTGCGAAGCTAGGAACGGTCGACTTTATTGCGACGACAGAGTTCTCTGATGACAGAGTACTTTGATGTATCTGGTGGACAGAATGAGGCACATATACTTTGGCACCTTATTTGTTGGACAGCAGAAACGGGGTGTCCACCTCATGCTGCATATATTCCACGTTTTGGAGCCTTGGGAGTGCGTTTGCCTGAAGGGACTCGTACTGGTGGCCCGTCACTCATTTATGCTGCAGGATGTACACAAAGCATCGCCCACACTATTGAAAGTGGGTGTTGGGCCGATTCACAGGAGTGTGCCTATTCCCACCTTCAAAAACTCGGCCTGCAAGTCCATGTTGAATGCCGTGCTCAGCTATCCTCAAGGGGGTTACCAAGCTGGCAGATCGAACACACTATGCCCGGTAAACGTCAACCTGCAGATGGCAACTCCCCCATCAAAAGTCCAGTCGGAACACCTTGGCAGGCCTACAAAGTCCCGCCTGCCAGCCCTCCAAGCAGCAGCACAGAGAGACTCACCAGCATATCACCAAGTACGGTTTGGGCTACTATACCGCGCATCCGTCGCGTTGGGAGTTCAGATCTCCCGCTCGAACAAGAAGCAAAGATGCAAAAATACACACCAGCAGACGCCTTCTCTTACCACCGGCTTCAACCCTCAAAAGACTGCGGCTGCGGCTGCGGCTGTGTATGCTGATGTTGAAAGGGGCACTTGCAGTTGGGATCTCTGCTACTCTCCGCAACTCGTTTCGCTGAAGGCGCTTCTCTTGCTCACACCAGCGGCGCTTTGTTCGCCTCAACGAGGCCCGCAGAGGCCCAGATCACCTTCCAACGCCCGTCCTACAGTGCGGGGACAAGGTCGGCCTCCTCTCCTTGTCGCACGGAGCCTCCGCCTGTGCGACGGCGCCAACCGATGCGGGAAAACAAGACAAGTCGCCGCCAAACGAGACGGTGCACCATGGAGATGTATAAGGTACACAGGAAAAGCTTTTCCCGTATACATTGTACTTAAGTATACAGTACATAGGAAGAGTTCCCATCACCCTCATCGCTTTTGTCAACCAGGGGCGTGTGTCAAGTTCACACACACTTCACATTAAGAAGATGTACATTCAAATCCCCGAAATCAGGTCATCCAAAGGAGCACCCACTCCCAAGCAAGTGTTTGCGGTCCCATTCCGCTTTGCAGTTCTATGGGCGCCACCGTCAACAAGAACGAATCGAAAGGATGGATTGTGTGTGTCGTGCCCATCGCGAGGCCGGCGGCCACCCCGTCAAATTGGCGGCAAGCACATTGATCGAAACGTGTAGCGAAACAAATGGAAACCGTCAGATTGCAACTGGGGTTAATGTTGGACCTGTTGTGGGAGATGGCGATTGTGGAGGACATCGCGTTGCGGATTCGGGGGTGATTTTTGGACAAATGTTGGCAAACCACAACACACATCTCGGACAACAACGCTGCAAAGAAGCAGATCCGCATGCCAACGCCCTCAACTGTGCTCCTCTGCCTGTGCACAGAGTTTGGTCCCCGAGGTGGCGCAACGGACCCGTTGCGTGCGAGAGTGTGATGCAGGCCAGCAAGGCGAGGCGTTAGTCACTCAATCGGTGGTCGTCATTCCGAGATCCCCACAGTGGTTACCATCAAACTCGACATGGCCAAAAAATGCCGAATAAAACAAAGGGACTGCTTCTCGACAGGATTTCAAGCCGATGTAGGGCAACCTTTCCACGTTCCCTGCAGGTCCTCAAGCCCCCATCCAGTTGCCAGCCTTCCCAACAGGCGCGCGGAGCAACCTGACGTGGAGTCCCTGAGGCTGCCGAGGCAGCCGCCGATTTTCCAGCCCATTTCCTGCAGCCGATGGCGCGGGGGCAGCTTTGACGGCAGGTCATGGGTCGAAGGGGCCTGCTGCAGGCGCCGGCGACGGCGCGGATCTCTTGCCCTCGCGGCTGGACGCTGTTGGCGATCTGTCTCACCTGCTTGGCGATCGCATCCCTGTACGCCACAGGGCCCAGGGCCTATCATCGCGCGGCTGAGAGCGTGGATGCGCGGGCGGATGGATCAAGAAAGGTGCGGCCACTGGGTGCTGCAAACGCGGACCTGGCAGCCAGCCCGGGGGAAGAGCAACGGGCGGTGTTGGCACCCGCCAGGATCGGCTTTCTTCCCACAACGCCGCCAGCAACGGCCGCCAACGCAGCCCCCAACAATGTGAACGCATCGCAGACCGGAACGGTTGGGAAAACCGCGGCGGCCAAGAATCGGACAAAGGTGGTTCCCCAGCCTGCTTGGCCGGGGCCTTCGAAGGCAGCCTGGTTGGAGAGCCTGCCAGCGTGGGGCATCCGGCGCGAGCTGGACTGGACGCCGGAGGCGGTGAGGGGGCGGGTACGTGGCGCCTTCCTGCACGCCTGGGGCGCCTACAAGCGCTTTGCGTGGGGTCATGACGAACTCAAGCCGATTAGTCAGACGTACAAGACGTTCAGCCACATAGACATGGGGCTGACGATTGTGGACGCCGCGGACACGATGGTCGTGATGGGCCTGGAGGGGGAGTACGCGCAGGCGCGGGAGTGGATAGCGACGCACCTGGACTTCGGCGCGGTGAACGCGAGCGTGAGCTTCTTCGAGACCACCATCCGCTTCCTGGGCGGCCTGCTGTCCACGCACTACCTCACCGGGGACGCCGTGTACCTCGACAAGGCGGTGGACCTGGGGGCCCGGCTGGCGCGGGCCTTCAACACCAGCAGCGGCCTGCCCGAGCCCGACGTCCACCTGATGACCGGCGCCCTGTCCAACTCGAGGAAGACGCACGAGCTCTTCTTGGCGGAAATCGGGTCGTGCCAGCTGGAGATGGCAGCGCTCAGCAGGCTGTCGGGCAACGAGACGTTCACGCGGCTGGCGGAGGCGGCGGAGGGCGTCGTCCTGGAGTCGCCATCCTGGGATGGCCTGAGGACGACGTCCATGAGCTCCTTCAGCCGACGGTGGTGGGGCCTGTACAGCATGGGCAACTCCGCGGACTCGTACTACGAGTACCTGCTCAAGAGGCACATCCAGGCGCGCGCTCTGGGCGAGCCCCCGGAGACGTCCCAGAAGTACGGCGCGGAATTCGCCAAGGCGATGGCCGGGATGGCCCGCCGCCTGGTGCGCAAGACGGCGCACGGGCTGTCGATGCTGGCCGACGTCGGGGTGGCGCGCGACAACGAGGCGCGGCGCATGCACCACCTGGCGTGCTTCGTGCCCGGCACGCTGGCCCTGGGCGCCGCAACGACGACCCTGTTCGGCGATCGCGCGGACGAGATGATGGCCCTGGCGCGGGAGCTGGCCCTCACGTGCTACTCGTTCTACAAAACCACCCGCACGGGGCTGGGCCCCGACATCGTGTCCTTCCCCATGGACGCGGATTACGACATGGCGCCCACGGGGGTCAACGGCAACCACCTGCGGCCGGAGACGGTGGAGAGCCTGTTCGTGCTGTACCGCCTTACGGGGGATCGGAAGTACCGGCAGTGGGGGATGGATATCTTCGTGGCGTGGGAGACGTACGCCAGGCTGCCGGCTGGTGGCTACTCCACACTGCTCAGCGTCGCGGACCCGGGGAGCCACGGAGACTCCCAGGAGAGCTTCTTCCTGGCCGAGAGCCTCAAGTACCTGTACCTCCTGTTCGAGGACCCGGCCGTTTTGCCCCTGGACGAGTGGGTCTTCAACACCGAGGCGCACCCCTTCAGCTTGGATCGGCGGTGGAGTCCAGAGGCGGGGCGGCGGACATTCGAGTGGCTGATGTCAAGGGAGTGACATTGCGCCAGGTAGTCTTTTTTGTCCTGTGGGGATGAAACACTGAGATGGTACAGAAAATTGAACGAAGCACGGTTGGGAACGCATGAGAGGGGAGCGTACAGTTAGTGGGGCAGTTGGAGGGGGCTGCGTAGAGGTTGTAGAGGAGGGAGTGAGGGAGATGGGTAGCGGGTAGGGCCCTAGGATCATCGGCGGGGCGGACGGGTCCAGGGCGCTGGCATAGAGGATCGTGGTTGAGAAATGGGGCAGAATTGGTATTACTTGTGGGATTAGTATGGACATGAGAAGTCATGGGATTTGATTCTGGAATAAGCCAAGCCAGAATAGCTGGGGCGGCTGGCAGAATGTTCTATTTAGGTGGCAGCCTTCGGACAGGTCAGCCTGCCATCTTTCCATGCAAATGCACGAGGTGATCGGTGTGTACAAAACAACGTTTCGTGTCACAATCGATGGGGTTCATGCCGGAGCCATCGACGGCGAAGGCACGGGGTAACCGACTGTGTGTCTGCACCATCGGGCACCCTCCGAGGGGCCAGTCAGCTGTGCTGCGACTCGTTCGCACCGGCATAACAGTCCACGGCAAGTGATGGTTTTCTTCATCAAGACTTAGTTGTGCATGTGTCAAGATTCGTTTTAAAATCCAACAAGCAAAAAAGCCTCCGTCCCATGAAGAACGTGTTGGGTGATTGCGTGTGTGCGCATAAAGGCACAATTGGGCTTCAAAACAATTGTCGCTTGTGACATCGTGTGCCAAACTCTGAAATCGTTATTGTTCGCATTCATGCCCAAACTACGCCAAGCGAGGTGTTGTGAGTTTGGGACAGGGTGGATATATGCAGCCACCGTTTTGGGTGCAGGGTCAGACACGTCTTACAAACACACGAGAGCACAGAGCCAGGTTCCCCACTACGAGATCGTCAATCCCTACAGAGTTTTTGGCGGTCCAGCAGGGCTCTCCCCTGTGGATCAGAAGTTCCTTGCCTTGCCGAAGTTCGCTAATTACTGTGTTTAAACTTGACTGCGGAAAACAAATCGGGGATCTTGCACCATGTCGGCGATGAGAGACATCCTGAAACGATTTCCTATTGCGTTCTCCATATCCGCTTGCCACCCATCTGCAGTGCACGGTTTGCATCACAGAGGTCACTTTCTGGGAGGCTTTGAAATGCACTGTTGCCAAGAAAGGGTCCAGTTTCGGTTTGTTCGTACTCCCGATTATGTGCTCCTCGCCATGGGCCTTGCTCACTGTTGTACGCCATTGTGCATGTGTCACTGTCAACAGCACGTTTTGCAGTATGAGAGACGTGGGAAGCCTGCAATCGTGAGGCACCAGCCCTGTAAGGCATACGCTTAAGTTCCATTCCTCCAAAGCCTTGGCATTTAGGGTTTGAGTGCACATTCATGTGCAAACACATGGCACATGCAGTTTTTCAGGGCTTTCTCATGCGCCAATGGAGCACACTTCACATTCCCTGGAATGTTGTGTCGGAATCCACCCAGTATTACGTAGATGATGACCCAGATTCACAATGCTTACAACGCAAACACAAACTCATCGACCTAGTGCCCATCTTCCACAAAGTGATACACCTACCAATGTGATATGCCTCACCGAACAATCCCCCTTGCAAATAAATCCATCTATTTAGCAGTATAGAAGCACCTGTACATTGTGTGTCATGGCACAGAAGGCGCAGCACCCTGACGCCCTGAACCGGTGCTACCGTCCTCGCTTGCCCCATCCTTAATGATCTTCAGGTCCACGCTGGCCATCCTGTCTGTCCCATGGGCTGAAGCTAGTATCAGCGGACAAGTCTTGGACCTCCTTCAGCAACTCATCTTTGGTCGAATCATCTTCCAGCTCATCGGGCTGCTCAGTTTCACTGTTGTTCGGCTCCTGTCCCATATACGTTCGAGCATAGGCTGGGATATAGCCAATTGTGTTGGCTTCTGAGACATCCCGCCGCACAAGATCCAGTGGTATGGCCGAAGGGAGGATGTCATCGGGGGGCTCGCTCCGTTCCCTGCTGGCCATGGTCGCCCTGCCCATCATCGGACTCCGCCGGATCCGGCCCCAGTTTATCCACCGCATCATTTGGAAAGCTATTTCCTCATTTGTCTTGCAGATCCGCATGCTGTCCAGGCCCTCGTCCAGGTGGGGCCACCCCTCACCACGCAAGTGACAAGACGTTGAAAAAATTATGTTTTTGTTGTTTCTGCTGTATCCCAAGAAATTGCCTTCATGCTCCTCGCGCTCGCCCACACGATACACAAGAGTCTGGAACTGCTCCTTCAGGATCACAGCATGGATTGGCACATCCAAATCCTTCGCAAGCTCGATGAAGTCCCTTCTTTGTTCTGGAACGTCAACAGACAGGCATTTGATTCCAGAGAAAGTGCAAGCTATGGACACAACCTTGGCAACAGCACAAGCATCTTGCACCACTTCCCAGGTGACTGGCCAACATCCAATTATAAAAATAAACTGAAGCAAGAAAATTCAGATGTACCGGCACGTGGATGCATTGCCAGTAACTCCAGTGTGTCTTGGTGCCCAGACTTTCCAAAGTTAGATACACAGGACATCATTGCATTGAACATGGGAAGCATTTGATTGCACTGCACACCACATGGATGACTGCTTCCTTCCAAGCAACACAATTCCATATATTGCCCTTTGGGTGTCCCATATATTCCCCCAGGGGGACAAAGATGAGCCACTGTGACAGAGGAAGCCAAATTTCTGTAAATCTTTTAGGAGGTATGCTTCTTGCACAGAAAAGGAAGGTGCCTTGCAGATGGCGATCCCCACCCTGAGCTATTTGTGTAAGGCTCTTTGGCGCTTTTGGCCAACTGTCAGGCTATTGGGTCAGATGTGATAGTGCCACATTGGTACAAATTGCTCCTTGTCTGCCATGGCAGCAATTCACACACCAACGCACATGAACGGCACTCAATGCCAATCCAAGCACAGTGCAAAAAATTCCTGCTGGAGCTGGACATTGTGCAAAGGGCTTGCGAGGCTGCCAGGACCATTAGCAAGATCATAGCACTCTTGTTGAATCTAAACTTATGCCAGCATCGTTCTTTGATGGCAACGTGTGACAGGAGCACTATGGTTCACAACATATGCATATCTGCAAACATGCATTGTTTTCCTTTTGAGGTATATGAAAACACGTTCAAGGAAAGGCACAGGGGGAGCTTTGGGCTCATCAACACAACATGGGTCCAAACTCCCAGGAGGACCCAGCCAAAATGGGCCTGTCCAACTGCAAAGGTGCAAAGTGGAATAACCCCCCAAGGTTTGAAATTCTTACCCACGGTGTAATTCATCCTGTCCACCACGCAACAATAGCCCAAACTGAGGTAGTGCTTGACGAGCATTACACACTCTGGCCTCCTTCCCCTCGTGCCATTCCTTATGGTATCTTGGTTGATTCGCACCCAAGGGAGGAAGCCCTTCTCTACGAGGCCATTTGCAAAAGTGCTTTTGCCAGCACCTTGAGCGCCAATCATCAGCAGAATTGTTGGCTTTATGCCCTCTTTAGTTGCAGTGATTTTCAGCCTCCTTTCTCCATTCAATTGCCGATCTGTCCAATGCTCCTGAGTAGAACCACCTGCCAGACCATCCATGCAATTTTTTATTAGGCACATCGGAAGGTGAACTGTTGACATTCTGAAAGCGAGGGACCAGCAGAACCAGATGTGGGAAGTAGAGGGCCTCTTGAAGTTTTCAAGATTGTGCAGGCATCAGTGCCCTATTGCATGTACTTTTCCGCTGCCCGATCGACTAATCTCAGATGCTTGCTAATGAAAAAGGCTAGCAACAACTGCATGATAACCAGGTGGCAGAGTATACGATTCACAGCACAACCAATGTCAGACTCTGCCAGTTATGTCACCTGAAGGCTCCAGCATCAGCTCTTTCCCATTGCACTTCCCGCTTCCTGCATCCACGCTGTCCTCCTTTTCTTCCTCCTTTCCCTCAGTCCTCACTTCGTCTGCCACCTTCTCATCATCGTCTGAAGGCACAAGGACGAGTGGAGGCAGATGTGTTTGTGAGGACACACTCAGGCATTCAAGTGGCAGACAGCCAATGACTCTTGCCCTTTCTTTGCCATCTCCATTGCCTTCACTGGGCTGTTGTTCATTTTCTCTAGTGCGTCTGCCTGCAGCTGGACGATTTGCACGTTTGGGCACATCAACCGCCTTTGCATGACTCCAACCTCGCCGCCTGCGCTTTTTGCTGGCAGTCTGTAACAAACGAATGTGGCCTTCCCTGTTTGTGTCCCGAATAATCTTCAGTGGCAGGCCCCTTTCCATGGGAATGTGAAGTCCATCGTCATCCAAGTCATCGTTGCGTGAGGACATTGCAGCTGTCGGCAGGTGGGCACTGGCAGCCCATCTTGCAGACTCCGTTGCTGACCCAGAACCCATCCACACACCAGGAAATGGTGCATGAGGATCCTCAGTGTCACTCACGCCAGCATTGACCTGTTGTTCATCATGAGGGCGGTTTGTAGATCCTGCGTGTCCAATGCAGTTGTCATCAGGAACGCCATGTTGCTCTTCCTTCAGTTGAGGCTCGCAACTAGCAGGTGCCTTGGTTGCTTCACCAGCAAAGTCATCGCCCTCGTCTATTGGCAGGCCAATCCCCTTTCCCGTCATGGTCCCCTGCTCAGTTTGAAACTGAGACATAGCCCCAAACCCAGAACCACGCTCACATTCTTTCTCAGTCAAAACTGTCGTTGCCCTTACTGATTCTGCTGCAGATTCATCGGAAGGGCTCTTTCTCAAAGGGGCGGAAGTGTAGCCGGGCAATGGCTGCTGATTGGAGCTGCCATTCCCAATGCCATTATCCACAGTCCTGTCCTGTTCCCACCCAATGCCACCCTCACTCCCCCTCCTATCCACAACAGGGTCTCTGCTGGCTCTTTTCCTCTTGGTCTTCAGGCTATGCTGCTCTGCAGATCCCGGTTTCACCTCATCTAGGTAGAATCCCTTGGACTTTGTTGGGCGGCGCAGCATCTCCTCCAGGCCTGTGAACTTTTGATGCTCTTTGGAAGGCCCAGGCTTAGAGTCATCCCCATTGTCTCGTTTGGCAGCCACAGGGCGCGATGTTGAGTAAGCTCGACAAGAGACTCCGCCATCAGACTGGCACCATTGACCCTGCAATTGTCCTGAAGACTTCAAGCTGGCATAACCCAGTCTACTGCGGTCATCACCAGGGCACCGGAGAGGCACAGGCACAGTGCATCCACTCCAAATGCTCCCATCTCCACAAAGATGCAGTTTTCTCCACACGACTGGTGATCGCATCACCGAAGGCTTGAGAGAAGCTGCTTCAGTTGCATGGGTCAAACACGCCGACGAGGGGACAAATGCCCCCGGTCTGGCAGTGTGCACCAAAGAATTCTCAGCAGCTGCAGGTGCAGTAAGACAATTAGGGGCTGTTAGTCGTGGATTGGGTGCACATCATTGCACATGCACATCCAGTCGCCAATGTGCATCGCAAAGTTCTTCCTGCACATTGCCCAAATATCACCGCCGTGGAGGACAAGAGGCACAATGAGGGGCGACTGGAGAGGTGAAAGGGAACCCCGCTGTCATGGATCGCAAAAACACGACAGCATCGCAGAACTGCCTTGGTGCCCCGCTTGTCAATGAACAGACTCACTGGCAATCGAAGACCGTTAGCCCAAAAGGCCAAAGGTCTTCCGCAGCAGACCGGCAAGAACACACGCTCAAACCAGCGGATCCTATGCCCAACCACACACACACACACACACTCGATCCACGCACCATGGAATACCAACACAGTGTGCAGCCGCATGATCCATCCCTGCAGCTTGAACGTGCCGAAGAGCAGAGACGCCTCACTGAGGTCCGCTCCCAGCCATTGCCCCAGCTCGCGGCGAGGCGGGAGCCCCTTCAGCATTTGTTTGGCAGGCAGCATTGATGGGCTGATTTCCGGCGCCGTGCCCAGAACACAGCGGCACATCCAGATTGCGGCCTGCCAGCATTGGCCCGCGGCGCCCGCCGCTCGCTGATCCAGGGGATGGGGAAGGCGAGGGGGGCGGTGTCCGGGGGGCGGGGGGCGCCCGGGAGTGGCCGACGGGCCGTCCCAGTTGTGCCAGAAACGGGGGCGACTGGGAGGAAGGGAAGGGCTGATGGCTGGCGCTTGGGAGGCGCGGTCAATGTTTGGGTGATGACCGCCGTTAGTCAATTGTCCACGAGTTGATTACACAGACGAATGCAGGCACAGTACTTACACTGAAGATGGGAGGCAGGGTCGAAAGGCCTGAAATTAGTCCCTTTGTGTTTTCTGTGATTGACGATTCTTGTTTCGACATCCTAAACCGCTGAACCCACTGACCCACGTTGGCCTTACCAGCAGCAGGGTAAGGGATCTGCAAGGGAAAGAAGTGGGGACTAGTATCTTCTCGGGTCGAGGGATGGCGACCCTGACTGGAGACCGTAGGCTCGAGTACACGGCAACAGCTTACAGCAGAGCAACGGGACAACAGGATTTCTGTCCTTTATATCCCGTCCGTTCACCACTGTCCTTAATGCAGTTCCTAATGCCTCATCACCTCTTCACGGTTCCAGCTGTTAATGTACTTGATCAGTTCTGGTTACAACAACACCGTAATCTAGCAACCTTTTTTCTTCCAGACCAGTCTTATTCTGGGACAAGGTTTTGCCGGGAGTAGGGAAAAACCACGCAGAGCCCCACGCCTGTGGTCTGCTCGGCTCCATTGGGATGATATATTGGTAGCTTTGTTTGCAAGCGTCATAATCGCCAATTTTGGCGTTTGTTTAGATTTTATGTTGCACGAGGAGACCAAGACGACAAACACATAGTGTGCCAATACGATTGACCTGCCTGTGGATTGCATGATGTGGTTTGACGATGGCTCGATGGGCCCGTGGCTTCTGTCCGGTTCGTGAACTGGACACTTCTTGTGAAGCCCAGCAAAGTCGTTGGCCTTCACAAAGGTGCGCAGCAAATGGTGCCAAAGAATGCGGCGCCGCGTACAAAATGTCCATGACATTAGTAGAAAGGGCCGTTACCAGTGTTGGCAATACGTTGGAAGCCATGCACCACGGTTGGAATCTGAGTGCGTGAAGGCATTTGCGACGGCTAGCTCGCTGTCCGCAGTATGGCGCAGTGATTCGCCTTATTCCTAGCAGTGGACGCACCTGGGCCACAGGCTTGTGGCCTAACCTAACCTAACTAACCTAGGTTAGGTTTGCAACAATGCTGAAAAGTCCGATATGCATCGCACAACGTTATTGCACTGTCCACTCACATGACTCAATGACTGGAAAGCACGAAATCAGCTATGGAGGTTTCTGTATACTACAGTATACTGTGTTATGTATACTGCATTAATATGTATTTTGGACACCGACACGTATTGGGCAACAAATAAATGTGGTGAACAGGACGCTGGGCCATGGAATTGTCGACGACTGCCAGGATCTGGATCCCAAGGGATCCCATCATGATCACCATGTGGGCTCATGATGGCGATTGCAACCAGCGATCTGCACCGAATAGTGAATGCGATCTACTGTAGGAACCTATGGGGTGCGCCGTGGGACAAGCAAAGGAAGGCGCAAGATTCGCACATTTGCCACGTCCCAAATTCGCGGGACATTCCAGCATCAACTGCCCACATTGCAGCCATCCGTGGAGCTACCGGAAGCCCCCATCTGGTCGGACGCCTCCAATCTTGGGTCGGCGGACCCACGGATGGCAGATCGGTCTCATGGGCAAGCCCTCGATTCCACCCCCTCATTCAACCCCCAGCACACCCCTGCTCCTGTACCTGTACGGCGCACGCTTCAGCACCCCGGGCAGCCGGTGGGGCAGGTCAGGAGGCGAGGAGGGGAGGGACGCCACAGATGACTGTCGGGCACCTGGCCATCTCGGGTGCACCCGCGGAGGCTGTCGCCCTGTGCGCGGATAGCTACGGGACGCTTTTCCGAAGAGGTTGTGTTCATCGAGGGGCCGCCGAGGTACATCGATGGATTGAGAGAGCAGGTATCTTTGGTGGAGGGCCAAGTTGCGGGTTGCCATGTGTCGAGCGGCAGCTCCAAGGCGCGGCCTGGTGCATGAGACCGATCGGCGAACTCGCTGAGTGGCCATTGCCGATTGCCGACGCGGTTGGATATATCCCTTCTATAAGGGCCGACGGCGGTCCTCGTGGGCAGTGCCCACGGAAGTGTTGAAGCGCTTTGCGGCGTGTGTGACCAGAAGAGCAGGAGTTGGTTGCAGCTCCGCAGCCGGGCTGTCGGACACGGGGCAACGCAATTGCCTCATGGGCGTATGCACAGCGTGAATCTAACAATGCATTGATGGCGAGGCGCGAAATGGGTGTTACGCATGGCGTGGGTTACTCTGCGGCAGATCGCCGGCATCGACGCATCGATCATGACGCGGCGCGCCGCGGTGGCCTGGGCCTTTGTTTCCGATCGCGCCCCGGACGTTGACAGGGTGAAGGACTCCCTTTCCAGGGTGCTGCTCATGTGCCCTTTCGTGGCTGGAGGGCAAGACTGGTCTTGACTCTGGACCGTTTGTTACACGTTTAAACGTAAATAACTATTTTTACGCGTAAAAACGTAAATAACTATTTCTACGCGTAAAAACGTAAATAGGATCTGTTTTTAGGGGCTAAAAACCAAGCCCGGCTGTAAGCACAAATACGTCGATCGCAAATGTTGTGGTGGCAATGACAGCCTCCTGCTGGGTGTTTCCGGAGCATCGCGTTGCTGATTCGAATGTTGTGGCAAGTATTGGGGACTTTTGCGTAAATCCAAACTTCAACTCTCGCACGCCAGTGGACGACAGCTGAATTACACATGTGTCGAAAGTTCGAAGTTGGAAGAGGTACCAGGGTGACTTTTCTTCCAATATTCGACAGATATGGGAGCCGCGCTATCGTTCCTTCTGCCGCAGTGTATCTGCTCAATGAATGGATGCTGCATCGCTCCCACTAGGAAAAAAGGGCCAAATAGCACTTTTGCGAACATACATAAAACACATTTCATCAAAGTTCTGCACGCTTAGAACACAAAAATAACACAAACCCGTAAACTTTGTACACGTTTGAACACGTGTTATTTTGCCCTTTTTCTCCTAGTGTCCGTATTGCTGGAGGTAAACGCGATGCTACGTTTTAAAGCTCCCACCCTATTGCAGGACGCAACCTTTGAAAAGGCGCGACATGAGGGGAGATATGTACAAGAGATCTCTCTGCCTGGCCCACCTAATTCAGCGGCGCCGTTCGTTGAGGCCCAGCTAACCTCGACACTTCCGATTTCGCACACCCCATGCTGCTGAGACGGGGCTACGAACAGCACACCCTGCCTCAATATTTCGAGGTGAACTTGAAGAAGTGCTCACGCGTCATTCGGAAAATTTATTTCAAGTTGTATTTTACGTTCCATTTGCAGCTGCTGTCGTCAAAAGCGAAAGCAGAATCAACCCGCGTCTCGTCATTTTGTCGTTTTTTCTTGTGTACCTGCCATTTTATGCTGCAATGGCATGTAATAAACCACGGGCACAGCTGAAAAGGTGTTTAGATGCTGTTTGCAAATGTTTTAGATAACTTTGGGAGACAAATATGTGTTCAAATTTGTTTTACATAATTTCTCTCGTAACTTTAAGGTTACCATCAAAACGACAGCATCCCAAGCAGACTTCGCAGTTGCTATCTGCGCTTCTCTTCTTCATCCACCACGGATGAAGAATTGAATTCTGAATGTCCATGAATACATTATCAATCTGTGTCTCTGCCAGGTTGTTGAAGGGTTTGAATTGAGAACTTTCATACCCAAGTTGAATTTGTTTTCATGGGACCATCATCATACTCGCAATGACTAAATGTTGAGCAAATCGTGCCTCAAATCCTCAGTGCACGGACAGATTCAAGGTGCTGAGTGGCGAGGATCCTCTGCTGAAGGGCCGATTGACGCACCTTAAGAACGCAGGATGCTTGCTGGCTATTACCTTGTCCCGCATTTCTGTCAGTGAGTTCGCACACCGCAGACGCCCACTGGCATCAATCGCACTGCTCAGGACATTTACTTTGACGTACACCAACTCATCACGTGCAGCTCGGTACGATGCGCCATGACTCGTAATCTTCACGCTGTTGGCATGTTATCCACCGTTCTGCTAAGCTCAGTGGTCCATTTGAGACACCTCCACGTTGCCGTTCGTAAGATGCGTTCATGCTGCACTCTAGCTGTTTGGATGCCACCTGTTTCTAATTCTAACACCAACATCTTCGGCCCTCATTTCACAGACAGACTATCCATCATGGACTTAGTCAATGCACGGGCATCGGAACACTGCGCCATGCACACCGTACCGGGAGTCAGCGGCTGGAAGAAATGTAGCCGTAAGCCGTCCCTTACCCGCCACGTGCTCAATCCGGACACAGTGCATTAGCAAGAAAATTACCAAATAAAACTTTTCGGGATAACGTATGTATGCTGAAAACACGGAAATAAGCCAAACCCGTAAATTTTGTGCACGTTTAACACGCGTTATTTGGCTTTTTTTCCTAGTGGTGCGGGCCTCAATACGTGCCCAGAAGCGGGCACTGACCAAGGTTTCTCATAACAGACGGCAGAAGCGGTTGAACCTGTGGCATTGCCTCGGCAGGCGCATTCTAAGGGCGCCGCATCAGCCTTGTCGAGCGCGGAACGTACGAGCGAGACTGAAAGCATACTTGACTCCACTGGAGACGTCTCCACGGTGTCGACACGGAACGCACATGTGCGTCCACGGTTGCCCCGCCACCAGATGCGTCTGAACCGTCCTCGCAGCGTAGCTCATCGTGTGCTGCACCCATCTGCACCCGCGACCCCATTACGAAGGTGCCATAATCCGGAGTCCTGGGTGCCTTGTGGAGCTTGGGGAAAATGGGACGCCAGGTCCGCCAGGAAGCTCAAAGATTCCCCAATATGTCGAGGGTGATGAGCTCTGAGACTTTTCATTTGCAGACCTGGGGCTTGCAGAGCCTCAAATTTGAGGCCCTTTAAAGGGCTGGCTTCAGGAGACTGTTGTGGCCAGGATTGTGTCTCGGCAAACGATGCAGTCGGCGCTGTGTTCTGGATGCTGATGTGCGACATTCGAGGGAAGGCCTTGCCTGGGTTGAATTGCCCCGAGGGAGCGAACATGGGCGTTTTTCAGTTGCCATTGACATGAGAGAGAACGGGCTTCCGATACCGCAGGAGCTTTTCGGAAATGCAGTGCGCGTGTCAGGATCCTATGACAGGGCGCCGCCGTGTGAGGTACCGGTGGACTTTCCGGAAAAGGAGAGGTTTGAGCAGGGGAGGGCGCTGAGACTTGCAGCCATGAGAATCAGGGCGACGATCCAGGCTTTCGCGCCGATAGGTATGCCCCCGCCCAGCTCATGGACAACACATGGGGCACGCCTTCAGTGACATTGTCTTCAAAAGGTGTGTCTCAACTAATTGCGTTAAAGAAGTTCAAGATGATTCCCACAAGGCATGCATGCTAAGGTAATTGGAATTTATGCAATAATTGTAGTCTTAATTATGTGACAATCAATGAAAGCACAGTTTTTCGGATTGTTATCCCCATCTTCACTGAAAATATATATCGACCATACGGTGCCGCTTTCAAATTTAGTGTGGGACAGGCATCTCGATTCCTAAAATGCCTGTGTGGCGATCCAGTACTCGTGCATCGTTCCGCACCAGCAAGTGAATAGAAATGCATGGCATCGACAGATCAAGCATGAGCGCTGTGTGCTGTTGAATTCACTGTGCATGAAATCATGAATCAGGCATGTGCTGTTTTTCGTTTTGGTTGCATTTGCCACATGACAATGCAAGACCCTTGCACCAAACTGGCGATGCCGGGCTACGGTCCCCATCACAAATATGTGCTCGAAATCCAGTGCAATATAGATGACAATAAATTCAAATGCGACAACACCATTTTCGCCGCTGTAAAGCACTCCCTGCATCCATCAGTCACAGCGTTCGTCCAAAATCATCGCAAGCAATATTTCTTATGTAAACATATTGGAGCTATTATGTTACATGAATGTCTCTAAGCGCCATGAAAATAAACAAATATAGCCGTACAAGCAGCTGTTTTTGCGTGTTTACGTCTGTGCACGTAAAAGCGCGAATGTTGAAATGGTGCCGCAAACGTAAATGACAAACCTGCTTGCATCGTGCATCCATGATGGAACTTCCTACTGTGGCATCTTCGATGATATGCTGCAATCACTCTCGTTGCGGCGAATCCAGCGCAGACACACCCTCCAATACATCGGTATGCACGCTGTTTTATTATCCAATATCCAATACCGGTATCACGGGCACGCCACCACTGTTAGGTGGACAGCGAGCCGCGCGTCTGAATTTCTGACCACACTGGGGTCATGTCCGCTGAGTCCATTTAAGTTGCTGCCTGGTTCAATTGCACTCCTTTCAAATCTAATTCCAGATCTGCCCCCGAGTTCTGGTCTTTGGTCGTTTACGGCCACACCTTCAGCCCTATTGGGTTTGATTTGCTTCAGAACTGGCTTGCGTGTGCTCTGACGGTGCAGAGGCACGCTTTGAGTGCATGCCTCATGGACTGGTCATTCCCCGTGTTACACGAATTTTTGCAAATAGCTTTTAACCCTGATAGGGCGGACAAGGCGCGCTGGATTCAGGGGCCTCATCGTGTCTTGTTGTGCTGGATGTCCCTTGATGGCGGACATCAGTTTCCCTCGCCCATGGGAAATACCCTAGGGATCGGTAATACAGGCTGGACAGTCCCCACCTGCGAATCGCTGGATGGTGCGGCGCGCTGTCGTGGTATTTGTCACGTACTGTTGACAAATGCATTTAACAGAATCGGAGGAGCATCCACAAAAGGCAGTGGGGAGCGTACCTTGGGGCCAAGTTGACCTCGCTCCAAGCGCCATGGAGCAGGGCACCGGCGTCCAAAGCGGCGGCTGCCCCTCGTGTGCGTGGCACACGAAACGGAAGAGCGAGCAGAAGCGAGCAAACGGGCAAGAAGAGGGCGTTGTATTCATGCAGCTGCCAGCGCCGACCATCTTGGGCCGGAAAGGGGCCGCCACGAGCGACAGGCAAGGGCCGCGATATCCAGCGCGCGTTCCAAGATCCGGGTTGCATTTAGCCAACAGGGAGGTACCCTCTTTCCCCTGTCCTGAGGGTATGCATGTTCCGTCAGTTGTTGGCCACCACCGCCCTGAACGGTCAAATATGTTGCCGCATCTTTTGAGGGCTTGGCGATGGCAAAACCTAAAAAACCTGCCACAAAGGCCAACAGCCACAAAGGGCGCTGTTCAGACTGCATGTTAGCTGCGGATGTGGTGCGGATCAGTCCCCCTTGTCCTGGGCCGTCCACCTTCCGTGGGATCCGGGTCTCGTTGATGTTGCACGGCCTTTTGGCAACTGAAACTTACTTGCGAGGGACGAAACAAGCCACGACAAAAAATAATGCACACCTTATGGCAGCAATTGCGTGCGCGTCTGGCCGGATGCCCGCTGTATTCATCCACTCAATGTACATCGCTGGTGCAGGGATGACCAGGCACGCGTTCAACGGCCTAGGTTCTCCGAAACGACAAACAAGAACAGCGGCAAGTTGGCAATTGCGAACACTTTGTCTGGATTGCAGCTGGCAGATGCACGGCTGTCAAATGCAAGCGCGTCGCACCCTCACCCAGAAATCGCTATTAACTCCTCCCCTCTGGCGTGTGCAGTGGCGCCACGGACAACCCTGAGGCAGTTGTAGGCAGTGCTGTTGCCTCAGAATGGAAAACAAAAGTCAAAAATAGAACACCTGTTGCGGTGTGCGATGAAGCGATCAACAGGGATTTCTGCTCCCTTGGATTTGAACCAGATTGTTCAGGAGCCCCAGTCCAAGGTACGCTCTTCCTTGGGTGAGTAGCACAACAGTGGAAGCACCTTCATGTGGGCATCCTTTCTGCCACCCCTGTGTCGTGCGATGGAAACAGCAACAAAACACAATTTGGAGGGAAACAGTTTGTGGCATGTGTAGTTGATGTGTTGGTGGGTTGGCAGGGTCAACAACACAGGTGAAATCGACATCAGTTGAATTTTGCTGTTTGCACAGCACCAGGATGACAACTGCGATGAGGGCACCCAATGAGCTTGAAAGCCAACATAACGAATTTCGCTCTGAGCACTGCAATTCTTTCATGCATTTGGCCTCAATAGGTGCAGGTGCTGGTGCACCACTCCTGACAGTGGACACTCCAGTCGTGCATCAACAAATCCTTGATTCTGTTGCATGTTCCCAGAGTACGAATTGGGACTGATTGGCTGCAAGTCATTGGGCATAGTTCGGTGACTAACAAAGTCCTTGCAGATACTCAGTTCTGCACCCGCAAAATTCAGCAACCATTTAACCATTGACATTTTTTTGACCAGCTTGCAAGGTGCTTTGCGGTCCATGCCATTTGGTGTTCTTCAGCGACGGGCAAGTCATCGGGCACATGGTTGATAGAAGCACCAAAACGTGTTTAGGACTCTTGGGCAGGACGTTCGCATCCCAACGTGAGTGCATTCGAGACGACGATTGGAAATTGCTTCATCTTAAAATCACTGATGCTCAACTTGGTCGGAGCACCAGAGTGGTTGCTCAGCTGACAGGGGGCGACGCTGCGGTCATCAATCCAGTTGTGGATCTTCATCCACACGAATTCGAACATGAGCTTGGCAAGGAAGTACATGGTTGCCTGGAGCTGGGCACAAGCATTGGTTTTCGATGCGATGTTCTAAAAAGCAACGAAGAGGCGCAGAAGTACTTGCTGCAGTTCTACCCTTCGTTAGCAGGCAGGGATGTAGTGGTGAACATGGGGGAAATGGTGATTAAGGGGCTTGACTGTGGGCAAGATAGCTCACAGTGGAGTCAGTAGATAGGCATACACCAAGAGGGCACTGGCATGGTGTGGCACCTCCAAGGTGGACTGACAATTGGCAAGAAATCATGTGCAAGTCTAAGAGCAAGGAAGATAAATTGCATCCCATGACCCAACAGTGGCCCATTACAACCATTTTGCATTCCCACTAGTTTCCTTCCTGATCCTCTGAAGTTCACATGGTATGAGTCCTGGGCAGACTTTACTGTTTGTACAGATGTGCATGCTTCGCTATGTGCTGTACACTGTGCTGAAATGTAAACCTTGTAAACCTTGCATCCATTATGGATCCCAGTTTCACTGCACTGGACCACAAGGAACTGATCAACATGCAAACGCTCCAAATGTGCCTTGGCGCAATGCACCTTAACCAAACGTTTCTAGATGAAATGCATATTCTGCTGTATTTCACTGCGTGATGAACCCATGGCTTAGAGATGGAATCGATCCTGTGCACACTTGATTCTGATGGAGGAAGAGCAAGTGTATTGCAAGATGGACCAGGTTTTAACTGAGGAGATGTGAAGCCGTTTGGAGTCTGTTCATATCCTAGAATGGAGATTCTGTGGAGCAGGTTGGGTGGTTGGCGTGCGCTCCACGTGGATATTGATATGATGACGGGCAACGCTCTGTAGTACGCGTGCGATGGGAAGCCACAGCTCTGCTGTTGAAATGCCCAGGGCGTGATAGGTACAAACACCCGCCATCATGCATCGGCCTTCCACTTATTGTACTTCATGCTTTTCGCCAAGACACACAGCTAAAATAGGAGACTGTGATTGTGCAGAAAAATGGCAGTGTAAAGATCACGGCCGAAACATGGCCAGACCTTCCGGCTGGCAAAGTGAAAGTCTTCAAAAAAGATTCACCCGTCCCCACCCAGAGCGGTTGAAAAGAGCGACAAAAGGCGGTGAGATTGGGGCGCTTTGCATGCATGTCACCGGCAGATCGGCCACAGAAGCACGGAAAACATCTGCCCACTGGCCATGGATGCTCAGGCGCATGCAATCCAAAAGGGCATTGACAGAAACACTAACAGAAGCGCAGCGATTCTCACAGATTCACCCAGTAACACTACCAGCCCAAACGACGAACATGCAATGGGAGCCTCGCGCCGAAATCCAAACGTTTGGGACCGAAAACCGCTGGTTTTGAAGCCAAAATGGTCGGGCTACGCGCCACGACCTGTGCGCAAAGACCACACGCTCAGAGAACACCACCAAGGCGCTGACAACTTCACTAACTGTTGTTCGTCCCTTTGCATCCCCTCCAAAAACGGGCAGCGCTACCTTGTGGCGCCGCACATGTCACGGCAGCCACCCAAAATAGCACCTGGAAACTTTGTACATGTCGGCGCATCAAATCTATTTTGATCCTTAAAAAGTCACATCAACTTTGGGATTTCAAATACGGTTCTCTCCCAACCCGTCCTATCCCCGAATGTCGGCAACATATTTGTAAGCTATTACCAAACACTCACTTAGTCCTCATGCAAGGATTGCATCAACAGCGCACCACCCGCAGGCTAGGCTACAGCAAAATCCTACCTCAGCTCTCTACTCTTCGGCCATCAGATTCGATTAAAAAATTGCCACACTTCACACAGCAAGGGATATATGTCACTCAACCAGCGCACCCATGACCATTCTATCCATGTCAGCACATGGCAAAACAAATGCCACCTCCGATGTTCATTCAGCAAACGAGTCATATCGCCATTCTGGCTGTTGAGTGCCGCTAGAAAAATGTTAAAACCACCAAATGTTCGAATAGAGAAGACTCGACAGGTCTATGCAACCCATCCTGAACCGTTTCCACGTTATTCAGACGTCTCAATGGTCTACCCCTGCCAATTCAGATCGGCCCTCTTCGCGACTGTCATTGAGGAACCAAACATGCAGCATGCCAACATCTTAGCTCATTTTCTGATGGATGAGCTGGGCATCATATCCTTGAGTCGCAGTCGAAGTCTGAGTTCAGTGCGCTGGCGTAGGACATGCCCACAGCTGCGTGTACATTGCGCTGCTCTGGTCATGGCCTAATGGCTGTCGATGATGTTCACTGTCCCTTGCTGTTGATGATCTGATCCTCAATGTTGCGCCCCAGTCTGCCACGGTCTGTCCACTGAACTCCGGGCCACATTCTGGGCCTCACGGGGTGCTGACGAAGGCAGGCAGGGTCGAGGGGTGGCGATCCCTGAACGGGAATCGTACGCTCAAGTCCACGGCAACGGTTTACAGCCGAGGCAAAAGGACAACAGACGCTCTGTCCTTTATACCCAGTCCGTTCATCAACATCCTTAATGTAATTCCTAGTGCTTCGTCATCTTTTCATACATTCAGTTATTTATAACACTCAATCAGTTCTAGCCGTAACATACAGCCCCATTACTCTCAATCGCGAACGCCCTCGTTGCGATCTTTCATGCATTTTCTAAACACCATCATCTCAGTTGACTTAAACATAATATCTCATCGCATTCTCGAATCCACAATGTTACAATAATCAAATACCATCCGGCCCTTTTCATAGCCCTTTACTTCAATTATCAAGCAGATGTAGAATCCTTGCATACACTTTGTTCACACAGATCATCGCGGTCTTGCCATCACTGTCCTTTAGTTACTTTCCGTTCGATGAACTCCTTGAGACGATCAACATGGACTTCTTCCGAATCAGCGCCTCGTGCCTTCCGATCAATCTCGTATCTCTGATCAGAGAGGCGACGCAAAATACGATATGGTCCAAGCCAGTGAGGGTCTAATTTCCGCCCATGCTGCTTGAACCTCACCGTATTGCGTAACCATATTTTTTGACCCGGTTTGAACTGAACCTTGCGCACAGTTTTGGTGGTTTCTTCTCTTCCTTTCATTACGGCTGCTCGATTTGCATCAATCCCATCACGGCGCAACTGCAGTTCGTCAATTCTCTGCTGCAATTCCTCAGGCTCCGGTTTTCTCCAGCCCTCCGCTAGTGATTCCACTCTGTGTACCGGTACCGCCACCTCATGTGTTCGCTTTGGTGTATACCCCATCAAAGCTTCGAAAGGAGAGCACTTCATTGACTCAACAATCCGGGAGTTGACAGCCAGAACTGCGCGCCCCAACTCGCGTATCCACAGTTCGCTGTGTCCATCAGTTAGCCTCCTCAAGCGATCCAACAACTCACGATTCGTGCGCTCAACCAGTCCGTTGCTTTTAGGCGAGTAGGCTGGTGAATAGACCCATGCTACTCCAAGATCACGTGCCATCTGTCGAAGATGTCGCTCCTTAAATGCCATTCCCCGGTCAGAAAAGCAGATTCTGGGGATGCCAAATCGGGCGCAAATTGCACTCAGCATGATCATCACGTGATTGTGATCCGCAGCTGCAATTGGCGTAACCTCACACCACCGCGTTGCATAGTCTACAACGACTAGCAAATACCTGTAGTCACCCACTGGTGTGAACGGGCCCAGAAAGTCCCATGCAATAACCTCAAACGGCTCCAATACCAACCATGTTTCTGATTTCGTTGGGATCACATTTGGGCCATACTTTTGACAGGCTTCACAGGCTTTGACGTTGTCACTGACGTCTCTTGCCATAGTAGGCCACCAATACGTCCTCATCAACTGCGTCAGAGTCATGCGTGCACCGTAGTGGCCCGCATCATCATGAACACCACTGAGAACGCGCTTTCTGTCCTCCTGACGCACCACAAGTTGCGGATCGCCCACAGAATTCTTGTGGTATAGCTTCCCATGCATAACTGCGAAACGGTCAGCCCGACGCTTGATGAACTTCTGATCCTTTTCTGGCATTTCTGGTCGAAAATCTCCAGTTGTGATGTACTTCTGCATGTCATCATACCATTCGTCACTGCCAGGCACCACAATCATCACATCTAAATCTTCATCAAGCGCATCTTTCCCCTCCTGAATCATGGGTAATCTCGAGAGAGCATCAGCGTTTTTGTTCAATTTTCCAGGCCGGTACACGATCTCAAAATCGTATTCTGCAA